TAATTTCAACTATTACTTATATTTTTATGTAAAATGAAAAATTATTAAACAGTACATACAAAAGTTTGTGATATTTGGAATTGTATTTTATAGGCCTCATGATGAGGACAGTACGTTGATATTCTTGCTTGTAAGCAATCATCAAGATGTTCACCTTTAAGTCGAAATCTATACTTAGGATTTGTGATATTTATTGTTGAAAGCAATGATATTTGAAATTTTCCAATTTTTAACAAATAACCGAGTCAAAAAGACAAACTGGCTAGAACGCCAACACTAGATTTTCAAACTGGGAGAATCTCGATCAAACTGATCAAGGGAGAATCTCGATCAAACTGATCAAAGTCTTTGCCCATTTAAAATTATAAACATATAAATAAATAAAGTATCGGGTTTTAACGAGTTTCCAGCCACCCCAACATCTACGCAAACAGTTCGCGTTGGCGTGTTTAATCCTATTTTGTTAAACGATTTTTGGCATTTGAGAGAAAACGACTTACTTTAGGAAACTGTGTTATGAAATTTGTCAAAAAATATCATTATCATTAATTACAAGGTATCTGAAATGGAACTATCACGCCACCAAATTAGAACCATCATTTACTTTCAGTTCTGTTGCAAAACGTCAGCTACAGAATGTCGCCAAATAATGTGTACAGCTTTAGGTACTAATGCTGTATCATATCACACTGTGAAGGTTTGGTACCGAAAGTTCAAAAACAAGGACAATGACATTCAAGAAGGAGAGTGCTCTGGTCGGTCTACGGATGTTGACAAGAAACTTGTGGAAGAAGATCAGTAAGCAACCACTCGAAAACTTGCTAAGGAGTTAGACGTTAGTGCCATGTCTATTAGTCGCGCTATGTATCGAGTAAATTTCACGTACAAGTTCAATCGCTGGATGCCGTATAAGCCGACTCATGCAGATAAGGACAGATGTGTTCGGGCTTGCACTAATATACTCAAATATCAATGCAAGGACAAAATTCTAGACCGGATCGTCACTTGTGATGAAAAGTAGATATACTTCAACAACACAGGCCGAAGAAGTGGATGATCTGCGTCTGGTAAGCCTGTCAGCAGCGTCGCAAAGCGCAATTTGAGTAACATAAAGATCATGCTTTGTATCTGGTGGGATTGCCGTAGTATGTCACAATAATTAACATATGCATGCGCGTACCACGTACATGTTTGAGTACACACAAATTTCATGTTCTATATTTATAATTCGCTAAACAGTATTTCTTTGGCTGCGAGAATGTAAATATCGGATATACCGAATTTTTTCTGTACTTACCTGTTATGTTAACAGGATAACAGGTAAGTACAGACAAAATTCGGTATATCCAATATCTACATTTTCGCAGCCAGTGAAATACTGTTTAGCGAAATGACCATTAAATATAGCACATGAAATTTGTGTGTACTCAAACATGTACGTGGTACGCGCATGCATATGTTAATTATTATCCTCAAAGATTATCTAGAAAAAAGTAAAACCCTCGACAAGGTGTACAGCGAGATGCTAGTCCTTGTTGACGCTGCTATCAAGGGAAAACGTCGAACTTTCCGGTGCAAAAAGGTAATGTTCCATCAAAATAACGCAAGATCACATGTGTCTGCATTCACCGGCTGGACTCTGTACGGACTCGAATGGGATCTTTTGCCACACCTATCATATAGCTCCACATCGCTCTTCGGACTTCTACACTTTTTTCCTACTTGCAGCTACATCTTGTTGGTGATAACTTCCATTCTGAAATGATGTTGATCTGTTTTTGGACTCGAGGCCGCCAAGTTTCTGGGACGAAGGCTTTGAAAAACTACTAAAAGGATGGCAGCAAATCATAGATTTGGATGGTGGTTACTACATGCAATGAAGGTAACTTTATTAAGAATTTTTTTGGCGGAAAACTTACGCTACAACCAGATATTAAACAAAAACATTTATTAAACTCCTCTAATTAATTATTAACTTACATAACATTTTATTGAAAACCGAAATAATGTTTTTATCATGGTTGCAAAGCAACGGCACATGCAAACAACTGGTGGGCGCAACGGTGTTCCAAGCATAGGGCTTGGAGCATATGATCCCTTCCGTAGACGATCTTAAAGTGCTTTTTTTCTCTGAGAACGCAAATAAAAATCGGTATTGATAACATAATATTCTTGCCCAAAATCAACCACTTTCGAATTAAGGCGAACGAAAGAAATTTCTGATATCGGTATCAGCCTAGCTCAATACAAATCAGGTAAAGTAGATCCAACAGAAAATCAAGGAGAATAAAATCAAGTACAGCATATTCAATGAATCGGAAAACTGTTTTTGATACTTTCCTTAAACATTCATTTTATCCTCATCTTAGCCTAATGTCTATCTTTTAAAATCGGCTGCAACAAGTGCTCCTCAAACGATTCGTAACATTAATAAAATTTTTACATTATTTTTTTTTTCTTTTCATACCTCAGCTGGTAAAATACAATAAATCGATGCTCAAATGGTCTTAAGACATTTCATTTTTGTTGTAAGATTATTGATATCGGTAACGTTCACTCCAAAATTAACATCTCAATGCACCATACGTATAGGTTTTTTACTTTAAATTCTATAAATCTTAAATCGTTAACGTTAAATCCGATATCTGCCAAAAACTAAGAGCATTAAATGTAAATCGCTTAATAGTTATTAAAGATGCTGCTGACGGTTTGTCACAAAATTAAACTGTTTTTTAAAACGGCAGAATTGCAAATAAAATTCTCTGACATCTATTGATGATTATTTCACCAAACAACTTGAATGTTTTTGAAACTGCTAAACAAAATTAATAATTTAAGGTATCTATATTATTATTTGGGAAGCATAAGACTATTTTAATTTTAAAATATTGTTCACATATAGCAGTGGACTTCAAAATCTGTCGACTCACGGAACTCTTGGATCTTTAAGGTCTTTTCGCGGAACCCCATCATACCCTTAGAAAAATATATCACAAAATAATATTTAAAGCAGATCTATATGTTGTAGGTACTTTTAACTAATTACAATTAAATAGAAGTGCTGTATTTTTATTAATATGTTTTAATATAAAATTACTAGCATTAACTCTTACCCCATGTGCCATTTACCCATGCATTATATTTAGCGACACTAATGTACTTGCATTTTTAATACAAATTGTCAAAGTCTGGCTCTATTAATGTTATCTGCAGTCGTATTTCATATTCTGCTTTTAATCTGCTTCGATATTTTGTTTTTGTTGCCACATATGTTTAGAAAGATTATTAACTTAAATATATTTTTCCGAAAGACATTAAAGTTTTTACAGCTGTGTGACAAACTTCTGGGTACTTTTCATGAATCTGCAATCCAAATTTTAGAAGCTGTTTTGCTTAAATTTAGATTTTTACGTCGAATCTGTTTCGAATCGCGATAAACTGTTCCTTTTGCTTCACTGAGCAAGCCTTCTGATTTATCATAGGACTCGAATGGATTTTTTTTCATCAGTAAATGAGTCAACTAGCTTTGAGTACTTTATAAATTTTCTTTTAAAACTTTTATTTTGACTCGCGGAACTCCGAGGTGCCGCAGATCACAGTTTGAAGTCCAGTGACATATAGTATTTCAAAAAATTAAATATCAGATTAGTTTACTCCCTAAGTTTTGTTTTTATTATTTCATACTTAGCTTTGCGATTAATTTCCAGAAAAAAAAAAAAAAAAAAAAAAAAAACTCTTTGCCTTTGTGGGGATTTTTTTTTCTTCCTCTTAACACCGCTGCCTTTGTCCCATTAAAATTTTGTGCACTATGATTTGTTTCTGTCCGTGTTTTAAAATGTTTCCAATGTAAGACATGGCATTATCATTCTAAATATGTATGCTACGTTTAGTTCTTACTGCCTTATCAGGGTGATAATGTTCTATGAAACTTTGTATCTCACTCTTTAGAACAAAATTCGTGAAACAGATATCTAGGAACATGTTCTCTTCTGCCTTCATCTGAAAACGTTTCTTTCAGTGCATTAATTGCATTTTGAAGCATCACTTGTTGCCGCTTGCTTGTTCGTATCTCGAGACATATTTCGTCATCCAAAACAGTTTTCATTTGCAAAATTTGTTCGTGAATCCATCAGTTCGTGATCCATGGCATTTATTAGCCAAGGCTCCATTTTAATTCACAGTTTTCTTATAACATTGATAATAAATTGATTTACAACGCTTCAATATTTTTAGTATCAGATATTAAGAGCTTTAAACAAGATAAATCCATTATACAAATCGATAATCGCAATAAATAATAATTATCTTCCGTAAGACACACATGACAAAACTCTTCTAGAATTGCATGAGGACTTTTATAAAGGATTCAGCCTTATAAAATTTAATACTGGGCAAACAATATACCATTATTATTAAAAACTACACAAGCATTAACAATAAATATAAAATCTACGCATTAAATATTCTTTCTAAAACTAAAAATATTAAAACAATCGTCTGTTATTATTTAAAAATTACTGAACTATGATGAACTAACGATACTTGGATAATTTTTATATAAATTCAATATTCAGGCTGTAAAATATAATAAAAATTTAAAAATTCTAAAATTTAATGAATTATTTTTCCATGAAAAAATTATTCTAAGAGTAGTTTCAATTTCATTTATGTGTGAACAAACTGATAAAAGTTTTAACAATACAATTGTGAATAAACTGATAAAAGTTTTAACAATACAATGAGACTTTAAATTTTAAACGAAATTAAATTCATCAAATTAAATTCATTTTAGTTAAGAAAACCGCTAACTTTATATTATTGTAATATAATTACTCTTTTCAATATGTTGGTTTCATTATTAAACAAAGACTTAACAATTATTTAAAAATTTCATTTATTATTTATTATTTTTTATTTAAATAACAAATAAATATTAACTGTATAGCAACTAACCGTAACGTATTTAACAAAGACGTTTTTAAAAAATGAGGTTTCTTTACCTGTAACAACGATAGTTTTTCCATCGAATCTAGCGTCCGCGTCACAGTATTCGGTCGTTCGAATGAAATTCCTAATTAAGAATATCAGGCCTCCTATCACAGCTAATGGAAAAATCACAATAAAAGCATAGACGGACAAAGTACCTTCTAACATTTTGAAATTTACAAACACCTAAACTCAAAAGGAAAAAAAAAAATTTTTTTTTGAAAAGCAAAATTGAGAGAAAAAAATTCGATGGTCAGAATAAGAACTGCTCCGCAGTTCCACGACCAAACATGATCAAGGAGAAAGTTTCAAGCGCGCATAACCGACACCCCCACAGATAAGCTATGAGCATGCGCGAAGATGGAAGAGTAAAAATGCAAAACTGCGTTATTTTCTCACGATTTCGGCAAAACGAAGATCTGCAATGGGTCGAAATTTAAATCTTCGCGTGTTTTGGGCTGTTCAAGTGGAATTATTTATTTCTTCTCAGAAATAAAATGTGCTAAAAAATTCTTTTCTTCACTTAAAAGGGGGAGTTCGTATTATTTTGAAACTATCAAGTTAACTGCATTTTAAATTTTGAAGCTTTTCAAGCTTTTAATTTTCAACATAAATAGTTCTGAACTAAAAAATTATATACATTTTTTCCTCAAATTAAAGTCTTATTTGTATTACTATTAAAAACTTTCATGTCGAAATTAACAGTATGAGAAAACGTGTTCATGCAAGTGTCTAGATTTTATGATTGAGCTAATAAGTTTTTAAATTCTGCAAATCGTTAATTTGTTTTATAAGTGAGGTCGTGGTGAACTTCGAGCCCGTATGGAATTTTGGAATATCATCTGAAAGAAAACTTTAATTATACAATGGTTTTTCTATTACGTACAAGTAGTTCAGTGCAAAATAATAATAATAATTAATAAATAAAATTAATGAAAACGTTTTTATGAATTTCAAATCTTTATTTCGAAAGCAAATAAAAAACGGCAATTTTAGTCAATTTACCCGAACATTTCTTACTACGATCGTATGGAATAAGAACCAGTGATTTTATTCAAATTACAGACACAGGTAAACAATGTAACCAATTCACGTAACTTAGTTTTTTCTTGCTCACGTTGTTGCCAACAATTCCGAAATTCGATGTTATTAACTCACAGAAAATTTATACGCAGTAAACTTTAAATAAATTTTATTGAAACTTCTAAAAATTCTACTAATGTTCGGAAACCAATATTTGACAAGGCTCTTTTTATATAAACTGTCGAATAAGTTGAAGTTTCTTTTATTTGTGTTCATAAGTTTAATAAATGAAAGGCATTTCACTAAAGCATTCAATTTGAATCGAATCACTTTCACAGTCCGTTGCTTCATAATATTGTTTAAAGAATTTCGTGGATCTTACCTTAAAAACACAGGTGAAAGCATGTCATATCAGTGTTGTTCAGTGGTCTGGTTCTTGCAATGATGATGATTATCGATCAATAATTAAGAAATTTTTTAAAACAGGAGAGAGATGTGCGTAACGGAAAACAATTCCCGAAAACTCTACTCCCAGAACTGAAAGATATTAGATTAGAAAAGCACAAAATTTTAGATATTAATCTGAATGAATTTATCATTCGAACTATCCCAATACTTCTTTTTTCGGCGACATGAGAGAGAGAGAGAGAGAGGAAACATTTTATTTAGAAAATAGCGATCAGCTAAAAACTGTCGAATACGGAAAATATCCAAAAACACTTTTCAATTTCATCCAAAAGGAACTCTAATCTAAACATTACTGCAATGGCGAACCGATGGCCAGCTGAAGCTCATAAATTTTGAAATGTGTTTACAATTGAGATATGGATCCTTAGAATGGGGGTCCAATGAATTGTGGAGAGTACCCTTTAATGTACTTTCATTTTTTTGCCATCCCCTGCTCTTTGTGATGCTTTAATCTCCATTCATGACATATAAAACTATTTTATAAGTATAAAATTATTTTTTTTCCTCGGGCATTATATTACTTATCATGGAACTTGTAAAGCAGATTTAAGAAATCACCGTAATGTATGTATATTGCAAAGCTGCTGACCTAAATCCAAATATAATTTATTTAATTCTTATTTAAAAGTGTCCTGAAATTTTGCCATATTTTCTTTAAGAATGGTGACAATTTCAGCGACAAACGCCAGTGAATAGATTTTGGCTCCATTCTACGGCCCCTTGTTAAATGTTGCTATTTTTACTTGCTTTTGCATGATGGCACTTTTTAAACGATGCTGTCATTTTTAAGATATTCTATAAATATCTACCTTAGGATCCGGATTCATTGGGACCACAGCTTATCCGGATATTTAAAAAAGTTCGAATATTTTTTCCAATTCTCTAAACACTTTCTAAGAAGTTATTTTATTTTTATTCTATTCTATTATGATCTGTTCTATTCTATTTATTCTTAATCCTGTATTGTAGTATTTCAACAAGGATAGTAACATCAGAAAAAAAAAATTCTCTCGTGCATTATAAAACATAATATTTTCGACAAAACTCAACATATTTATCTTTCTAAATGTGCAACTTACTTTTATTTAAACTGAAATTAATTCTAAATTTTTATCCATGTAAACAATATATTTCATTTATACAAACAAATATTCTTTCGGATTATTAACTATCACAGCTAAAATTAAACAAAGAATTCTTTTAATTGTATGAAACAAAACTCATGGTTTCTCTCTCTTCAGCTAAAAAAATTAAATATAAAATAAAGGCAATTTTTAATTGACGTAAAATAATACATAGTTTGTTAATGGTGGCTTAGACCTGAATAATAATAATAATAATAATAATAAAAAAATAAAATAAAATAAAAATAAAAAAAAAAAAAGAAGAAGAAGAAAGAAAAAGGAGTTAAAAAAAGGGGCGAAGAAGGCTTAGCTTTGCAATATACTTTTTTTTAGATCTCATGATGTTCCAATTAAGGGATTTCTAAACTGTGGATAGGCTCTATGAAGACTTATTATGACTATTATTACTTAATAAATTACGATTTGAATTGAACAAAATAAATAATATAAACAGAATATAAAGACTATATGGAATGTGAAAAATATAAATATAGAAAAAAGTATTGTTTCATGAGACAGCCTGCACTGCAAACAGAATAAAATGTATGAATAGGGATTTCCCCCCCCCTCCCTTAATGTGTTTAAACTGGAATTGAGATGAGCAGTTTTCAGTTTTTGTAACCATGATGAAATTCTTTCGCATTTTATTTCGAAATTTGTTCCGAAAAGTAATGCTGCTAGGCTGGTATTGCATCATACTACTGTTATCCATAAAAAATAAAAACATATGCTGCTTATAATGGACACTGGAAAAAAAGTCCATATCGTCATTAAAGGCGCAGAACGCATTTCTCGAATAAGTCGAATTTATCTTCCTCTTCTCCATCGGCTTCGTAAGAGTTCCATTGAGGAGGAGTCATATTTGGACACCACGTGTCGCACCCGAATGTCACGTGACCCCCTCCCCCGCGCGCGATGCAAACTGATGACTAAGAGGTGAGTGAACGTTTCGCATTACAAAAATATGAATCTTTCTTGGGGACTTTCTTTAAACTAAATCTGAAACTTAATTTAAGTGATCTGTTTCTACCTTAAGTTAGATCTATGATAAGGTGACCAGACTTGGCGGGACAGTCCCGATTTTTAACAATTTGTCCCCGGCGTTTTAAAAATGCCCTGATTTTTGGAAAGAGATGCACTACAAGCTATAGAGAACGGCGGGAGAATACGGTTTTTTTCGGCGGCCATGTGGCTACTTCGCCAGGATATGAGTCTTATATTATTTTTGTTAATTTTTAATGTTAAATTTTAATAATAACAAATAATTCTTGACAACTGATTATCGAGAACTGCTTATAAATGTTCGCATTGTTGATCAGTTGTTAGAATTCGACCACTATTGTTTGCACTTGCCACTATCGTATCTTTGTGCAATGGCATTTTTTGGTAATGGCAATGACGAAAACATTTTGCAACTGTGTCTCAGACGATACACATCCTACTGCGTGCTAATGCTAGTTAAACAAGTGATGTTAACAAATCAACTATTCGGGTAATTTAGGTACGTAAATTTATTTATTTATTTCATAAGCACATAAATTTTCTTGAATTTAGCAGACAGTTCTCTTATTATTTATATTTTATAGTGGCGGCAAAAGGTCTAGCGTCGGCCTTGAAAGTGATGCTTACGACTTACATACGGCAAATTCAGAGAAAAAATAATACGAGTTAGTATTGTTATTACTTAGAAAGAAATATACATAGGATTAAAATTAAAATAATTTTGAAAATACAGTTACTTTATAACAGACAAATTAAATTAAATTTTAAACTAAGAATAAAATTTGTTCATGTAATTATGTACCTATTTACTGTGTTTTTAAGCAATATACGTATATAGATAAAAATTTATAATTTATAATAAATTACTTCTTTAGATTTTTAACATAATGAGTAAGAACAGAAGATGCAAATTGAAAGATGAACTAAGAAGTGAATTTCCTTTGGGTTAAAAAAACTAAAAACGATTATGATCTAAATGTGAGAAATGTAATGGTGAATTTTCTATTTCGCCCGGCTGGAAGAATGATATTTCAAAGCACTCGGGGGCACAGAAGCAACAGAAATTGTCCAAAAGTTATTCAACAAAAAAAAAAAAAAAAAAAAAAAAAAAAAAAAAACAATCTACTAAAAGAATTCACTCAAATGAGAAATATGCCAAAGAATAAAATAATACTATACGTAATTTTTTAATGTATTATATTTGTAAATTGTACTTGTGTTGAAATTAAAAAAATATATTACAATACTACTTTTTACGTTCTATGAAAATTTATATTCCTTCATATAGACCAAATTTTTAATAAAGATTCACCCCCCCCCTGGTAACTGGTGTCCCGCTTTAACAATGTTAAAATCTGGTCACCTTAATGTATGACTTCTTTGAATTTCATCGACTGTTCGCGATTTAGAACTGGAGAGGATTTATCGTCAAGTGGTCAATCATTTTGATATCCGGTTATCAACTTGAATTTTTTCATCATTGCCTTAAATGATACATTATAATTTTAATGTATAAACAATAGAAATTTAAGCAGATGTCTAAAATGCAGGCTTTTTGTAAACTAGGTAATTCTGTTTCACGTGAAGGGGAGAAGTGTGGTTTGCACTAATAAGATGTAAGAATTTTTTTAATTGATTACGACCACGCACGCATTGAGGTCCACCAAAGAGAGAGATGCTTCGTAGAGGACTT